GCTAGTTACGTTAAGCTGGATTCTGTGGAGAACTAGGACCAATGAATACAAACATGCATGTTGCTAGGTGTCATCGAGTTGGTTATGTGTAACTCAGAGCAACTCTGTGCACAGCTCTGTCCTCACCACCTGATACTCTAGGTCATTGTGAGTCACCGTGTCATTCCATCTGGTTGGAGTCTCCTCCTTCCGACTCTTCACCTTTCCCAGCAGGATGTTCTTTTCCCAAGATCAGCCCCTCCTGACAGCATGCCTGAAGTCTGTGAGAGGAAGTTTTACCATTCTTGCCTCTAAGTTGCATCCTTGTTGCACTTCCTCCAAGGAGACAGATGTGTTTGCTCTTTTGGCAGTCCATCTCGTTGTTGTTATGTTCCGTCGAGTTGCTTGCAACTTATAGTGACAGTACAACAGCACTGAATCCTGCTTCATCCTGAGCCAACCTCATCATCTCTGACACACCTACCCCCATTACCCCAAGTCACTGAGCCAATCCAACTTATCCAGGGTCTTCCTCTCTTGCGCTGTCCCTCTGTAGTCCAAAGGATATTAAGCAATCTTTTCCAATACCACAACTCAAAGGGATCCATCTATTCTGTAATCCTTATTCATTGTCCAACTTTGCAGTGCATAGAAAGACATTGAAAAATACCATGGCTTGGAACAGGCACATTTTAGTCTTTAAACTAACATCCTTGCTCTTCCTTACTTTAGGGAAGTCCTTGAGAGCAGATTTTCCGAATACATCTTTTGATTTCTTGACTGCTGCTACCATGAGTATTGATTGTGATTCTAAGTAAAATGAAATTGTTGATATCAAGGTTTTCTCCAACTGGCATGATGTTGCTTATTGGGCCAATGGTGAGGATTTTTGTTTTCTTGATGTCGAGATGTAATTCATATTGGAAGCTGTTATATCTAATTATCTACAGAAGGTGTTTCAAGTCCTCTTCACTTTTAGCAATCAAGGTGTGTCATCTGCACAACACAAATTTTTTATGAATCTTCCTCTAAACCTGAGGCCGCAAGGGAGCTCTGGTGACCTCATGGCAAGAAGCTGCTCTGCAATCCCAAAGGCACAAGGTTCGAATCCACCAGATGTTCTGCTACAGAAGGATGGGCAATCTCTTCCTGTGCCAGTTGGATCCAATTTGATGATACATAACAAGACGCCGTGGTGGTGGGGTATTAAACCTGAGGCACATTCTTCTTTATAGAATTCAGTTTCTTTTTTTTAATATTTTTTATTGGGAAAAACATATTGGGGGTACAAGGAGGTGAGGGTTGGGGGCAGAAGGGTGAGGACGGGCCAGGATGCAGTTGCAGAGCTGCACAGGTTGGTCGGTGGGGGGAGCAGGTGAAGGAAATGATGAGAGTCCAGTGGGGACCAGATGCTACAGAGGAATGACAAGCACTTTCCAATAGTAATTAAACCAACTGTCTTATTGATTTGGGAATTGGATGTTGACTCTCTGGCTTCTTCATGCTGAAAGGGGGGAAGGGAGGACGCTTTATCACCTTACTGGTGGTCTTGGGTTACAGCTGCTTGCCTTCTTGCTCCTGAGGGCCGCGACGGTTCACCCCTAGCCGGGGGCCAAGCGCAGCCCGCCCTGGGCAGAAGGCCACGACAGCTCGCCCCGGGCAGAGGGCAGAGGGCAGCCCGCCCTGGGCAGAGGGCCGCGACAGCTCGCCCCAGGCAGGGGGCTGAGGGCAGCCCGCCCTGGGCAGAGGGCCGCGACGGCTCGCCCCAAGCCGGGGGCCGAGGGCAGCCCACCCCGGGCAGATGGCCACGACGGCTCGCCCCGGGCAGAGGGCCGCGATGGCTGAAGTAGTCTTTTTTAAAAAAAGAAGAAGAAAAAGTGTGTGTGTGTGTGTGTGTGTGTGTGTGTGTGTACCATCAAACTGGATCTGACTGGTACAGGAGACTGCCCCTCCTTCTCCAGCAGAGCATGAAGTAGAGTCTGGGGGTCCCCCCCCCCCAGGTGCCTGTCGGGGCCTGGGTTTCGGCTGTCCACACCACAGTAGTGGGCAACGAGCTTAAAGCCCCTGATGGCTCTGGGCGCTGACTCTCACCAGTGGCTATGGATGAAGTCACAGGCGATTTTCAGCCAGTGCCGGGAATTCAGTTTCTTAAATTATTTGCTCAGCATACATATTTAATAGATAAGATGAAACCTTGATGCATACCTTTCTTATTTTAAATCATGCAGTGTTTCCTTGTTCTGTTAAAACAACAGCTTTTTGGTCTATATATAGGTTTTGCATGAGCACAACTAAGTTTTCTAAGATTATCATTCTTTTCAATGTTAGTCATGATTTGATATGATCCACACAGCCAGATGTGTTTGCATCGTCATTAAAACGCAAGTGAACATCCTTCTGCAAGACCCATCGGACATTTGCAGTGATTTCCCTTGTGCCCTCTTCTGAATCCAGCTTAAATTTCTGGCAGTTCCTTGTGGATGAGCTATGCCAGTCATTTTTTAATAATCTTTAACAGTCTCTTACTTGCATGTTATATTAATGATACTGTTCAATAATTTCAACATTCTGTTGGATCACTTCTTTTGTGAATGGGAGCAGATTTGTCTTCTAGTCATTTGGCCAAGTATCTGTCTTCCATTTTTTTTGGCACAGCATGGTGATCATGTCCAAGGCGCTGCATCTGTTAGTTGAAACATATAAGTTGATATTCCATTGATTCTCAGGGCTTTCTTTTTTTTTTTGCCACTGCCTTTAGTGCAACTTAAACTTCTTCTTCATCACTTTTGGCTCTTGATCGTATGCTGTTTCCTCAGAAGGTTCCATGGCAACCAATTCTTTTTGATACAGTGACTCTGTATTCATTCCATCTTCTTTTGATGCTTCCTGCATCATCCAAGATTTTACTTATAGTATCCCTTAGTATTGCAGCTTGAGGCTTGACTTTCCAGTTCTCTCAGCTTGAAAAATTCCAAGTGAGTTCTTCCTTTTTTATTTTCTGACTTGATCCGTTTGCACATTTTGTTGTAATACATTGCTTTGTCTTCTTGATACTACATCATCAGAGCTCCTGGATTACTCTAATGTATCTCTATAAATCAAAGGAACCTGGCTAAACTCATGGAAATGTCAGTGCTTATGCTTTTGGAAGCAGGAGTGGCATCCACTTCCTAAACATACCTCCAGAAACTATGAACTATAAATGTCGATAGTTGTAGAGGGGCTTCAGGCCTTTTGTTCATAGGATCTTTATGAGTCGTGTTCATCTCCAAGACAATCAACAACAACAACAACATTTCATAAAATAAAATAAGTGCTTTCAAGTCAAGAAAATATTAGCTATAAGCAATGAATATTTTTATGAAAAGAAAAAGAAGTATATATTGTTTCATTTCAATGGGGAAATATCATCAGTAGATATTTTGAAAATAATTGCCCCAATTATTTCATATGACTCACTTGGTGTTACTTTATATACAGTTGGTATTTGAAAGAAGAAGGAAGTAAGTGTGGCCTCGTTCCCTCCAGATCATTAATTTTCTGTAAAAGTTGGTATTAAGTATAAGGGAAGTATATAAATTATTATTTTATTTAAATTGCCGTGGGGTTTTTTTGTAGGATGTTCTGGTAATACACTAGATGTTCTAGTATAGCCATAAAATATTCTATTTGTTCATTATTTTGTTTTTATATAATTGGTATAAGGAGTTTTTGTTGTTCTTTTCTTAGATAGAAAGATACTAGCTTACCATCTCCGCCACAGGGATATTATTCTTTAGAAGAAAATGTTTTAGGAAATTAAAACCTTCATTATGATGATATGGTGTGTTTTCTTTATAGTCTTATATCTGTGAGCCATCTGGAAGTCACATTTAAATGCTTAATGTCTCTGCATTGCACATAATGCTTAATGTTTTTGTACCATTTTCATCTGTGAACCATGTCAGCCTAGAAAAAGGCCAGTAGATTAACTGTGGCCTTTGTGTTCACCTGCTGTTGACTGCAGAATTAACTCACCAGAGTAACTGGAAGGTACAAATTTGACTCCTGAATTTTTTAATATATTAATAGTAGCTAAAGACCTAAGTATCTACTTTAAACAGATATATTAAAATATACCTATCTGTGACACAGGAAGAACTAATACTTCAAAAGTCACAGTGTGATGATTGGTGCTATACAAAATAATTATTTAAATGGTTTAAATCAGTATTTAAATGTGGATACTTCTAGCTACATTTCTGAGCAAATTGCTGTTTATTGTTGTTGTTAGGTGCTATTGAGTCACCTAGCAACCTTGTGTACTTGAGGAAATAAAAATCTTGCCTGGTCTTACACCATCTTCATAATCTCTGCTTGTGTTAAAGCCCGTGGTTACAGTCACTGCACCAATCCATCTCATTGAGGGTCTTCCTCTCTTTCACCCACTATCCAAGCATGATGTGATAGAGGATATTATAATAAAGCTATTACTAAATATTTAAAACTGAAGAATTGTATAAAGTAAAAAAAATAAGATAAGGTTCATTACATGGTAATGTGCACAATTATATTACATGGTTTCCTTCTAGAATTAGATGATTTCTAGCAAAAACAGTGTATCTGGCGATGGGTCACAAACCCGTACTCTCTCAGGTAAGCATAAGTGTCAGTCATGAGAATTAGGAGCAGTAATTCCAGGTATGAGAATTACCAGGTAGAAAAAACACATTGTAAATGGAAGTGTGCACTGCAAACCTTATGTTGATAATAACTCTCCGTCTCCAGTTAAATGCAAACTTATTTGGGCTCATGTTCTGAAATGGGGAGAAGTCCCTCAGTTGTGAGCCCATCAGTTTACAAAGTATCTGTCCATAACTGCCCAGTTGAACCTCCTGGTGCAGGCCAGGTGTGCTCACAGCTGGATGCATGCCCCGGGAAGTGCCTGGCTGCTCAGGGGGTCTTCGGGAAGCATCTCTCTGTGTCCTGTCAGTGGGGAGCCCTGACGATATTAAGGTCTGCCTGTGGTTTCCCTTCTCCAGGGCACCTGGACGATGATGGATTACCGCACGGGTTCTGCACCGTCACCTACTCCTCCACAGATAGATTTGAGGGGAACTTTGTTCACGGAGAAAAGAACGGACGGGGGAAGTTCTTCTTCTTTGATGGCAGGTAGCATTCAACAGTTTTTAAAAATATTTGTCTTTGGGGTAGCTGGTCTTTGTACATACCTTAGTGCTGTGTGTTTTTCCACGTTCTACCTGTGATTTAAATATTTTACGGTATTTTAAAATGGTTTAAAATAGATCTTTCATTTTGTTTTGTTTTGCTTGATTTTGGTGCTCCAGCAGCAGAATTCTTGGTTTCCATTGAAAACTGAGGTTCAAAGCCCAGCACCTCCAGCACGGTCACTGTCTGTCAGCGGAGACTGTGTGTTGCTGTGATACTGAACCTGAAAGCATTGGGTATCACAGTAGTCCAATCACAGCTAGTGTTAGGGCTGGCACAAACCCAGATAGCATTTCATTCTGCTGTGCACGGAGCACCATAAGTGAGGGGCTCACCCCAAGAGCAGGTCATAGCATTAACAGGGGTCTTTTATTCTATTTTCCCCTTTTATATATTGTTGTTTGTTGTTATGTGCCATTGAGTCAACTACGACTCATAAGTGACTCTATGCACAATAGCTCTGAACCCTACACTATCCTGAACCATTCTCACTATGTCTGACACACCTACCCTCATTACTGCAGTTATTGTATCAATCCATCTTATCTGAGGTCTTCCTCTCCTACATTGTCCCTCCACCCTTGTTAGCATATTATGCTCCAAACACTTGTCCCTCCTGGCTACGTGCCCAAAGTATGTGAGGCAGAGTTTCAAAATCCTTGCCTCCAAGGATAAGCCTGGTGTCACCCTCTCCCACATAGACCTGTTCTCTTAACAGTCCATAGAATGTTCAATACTCTTCTCCAGCGCCACAACTCAAAGGTATCCATTTTTCTGTCATGCTTGGTCATTGTCCAGCTCTCTGATGCATAACAAGTAATTACAAAGCCCATGGCCTGGATCAGGTACACCTTAGTCTCTAGGCTAACATCCTTGTTCTTCAGCACTCTGGAGAGGTCCCTGACAGCAGATTTCCCCAACACACTTTATCTCTTGATTTCCTGACAACTGGCATAAAGCATATTGATTGTGGAACCAAGCAAGCTGATTGTTAACAATCTCAGTCTCTTCTCCATCTATCACGATGCTGCCATTTGGCCCAGTGGTGAGAATCTTCCTTTTCTTAAGGTTGACTGTAGCACTTTTCTCTTTTGAGAATAGATGGATGTGCACTGGCCCAAGTTTCTATCAAGGACTTTGCAACCACATCAATTTCAGAAGAAAAGAGTTATCACTTGGGTTTCTCAAACTTTGGGAGGAATTCTGAACCATGGGAAAGGCCACCTATATTCAGATATGTTTAGTGGGTCATACAAAAATGAGCTTAGCTAAAGCACATTATTTGGTTCTGTGGGAGCTACCTAAACCTTGGAATTCGTTGGGAAAGGAAATGCCTTTGCCAACATCTGAAGCACGTTTGCAGGGGAAGGGACTGTCATGTGACCTGGTATCCCTTATTGGTAAGTAGAGTGGGTTTTTTATAAAGATGTTAGCAATTGCTTGCAATTATCTGATCTCAGGAAGAGGAGCAGAAGTAGGAAAGCAATTGAAAACTCATCCACAGAATTTTTTTTTAATTATTTTTATTTTTTAAAATAATTTCTTTTTTGTAGTTGTTTTTTAGAACATGTTGCTGTTGTTATGTGTCGTCAAGTCGCTTGCAACTCATAGCAACCCTATGTATAACAACCCTAAACCCTGCTCTATCCTGTGCCAATCGCACTGTCTCTGACACACCCATCCCAATTACCCCAGTCACTGAATCAATCCATCTCATAGAGGGTCTTGCCCTCCTGCGCTGTCCCTCCACCCTCCCAAGCATGATGTCCCTCTCCAAGGACCCCTCCTTACAACATGTCCAAAGTATATCAGACAAAGCCCCAGAATCTTTGCCTCCAAGGAGTAGCCAGGTTGAACCCTCTCCAGGATGAATCTGTTTGTTTTCTTGGCAGTCCATGGTATATTCAGTACTCTTCTCCAGCACCACAGCTCAAAGGCATCAGTTCTCCTTCTATCCTCCCTAGTCACTGTCCAACTCTCTGATGGATAATAAGTGATTGCAAAGACCATGGCCTGTATCAGACACACCTTAGTCTCCAGAGACACACCGTTGCTCTTGAGTACTTTAGAGGGGTCCCTAACAGCAGACTTTCCCATAGCAATATCCTGGCTGCTGGTGCCAAGAGTGTTGACCATGGAGCCGAGCAAACTGAAGCTGTGAACAATCTCAGTCTCTTCACCATCCATCCTGACACTGCCAATTGGTCCAGTGGTGAGAATCTTTGTCTTCTTGACATTGAGCCTCAGTCCATACTGAAGGCTGCAGTCCTTGACCCTTCACAGCAAGTACATAAGGTCCTCCTCAGTTTCAGCAAGCAGAGTTGTGTCATCTACATAATGCAGATTGTTAATAGATCTTCCACCAATCCTGACGCCACACTTCTCCTCATAGAGCCCAGCCTCCCGGATAATCTGCTCTGCATACATGTTGAAAAGGTATGGAGATAGGACACATCCCTGGCATACACCCTTCCCAATTTTGAACCATGCATTGTTACCCTGCTCTGTTCTGATGACTGCCTCTTGGTCCAAGTATACATTTTGCATTAGCAAGATTAAATGTTCTGGGATTCCCATTCTTCTCAGAGTCAGCCACAGTTTATTATGATCCACACAGTCAAATGCCTTTGCATAATCAATGAAACACAGATAGACATTCTTCTGGCATTTCCTACTTTCAGCTAAGATCCATCTAACATCAGCTACAATATCCCTAGTACCACGGCCTCTTCTGAACCCAGCCTGGATTTCTGACAGTTCTCTGCTGATGTGCTGTTCCAGTCGTTTTTGGATAATCTTCAGTAGAATCTTGCTACATGTGAAATCAATGATATTGTTCTGTAGTTTCCACACCCTGTTGGGTCACCCTTCTTTGGAATGGGAACAAATATGGATCTCTTCCAGTCAGTTGTTTTCCAGATATCTTGGCAAAACTTGGTGAGCACATCCAGGGCAGCATCTGTTAGCTGAAATACGTTAATTGGTATACCATCTATTCCTGGGGCCTTATTTTTTGCTGTTTCCTTCAAAGCAGCTTGAACTTCTTCCTTCATCACCATAGGCTCTTGCTCAAATGTTATTTCATTAAATTCTTCTGTATCTACCAATTCCTTTTGATACAATGACTCAGTATATTCCTTCCATCTTCTTTTAATACTTCCGGGATCATTTAATATTCTACCTAAAGCATTCTTGATTATAGCAACTCGAGGTTTGAATTTGTTCTTCAGTTCCTTGAGCTTAAGAAATGCTGAACGAGTTCAGCCCTTTTGGTTTTCCGACTCTAGCTCCTTACACATTTCATTGTCATCCCGTATTGCCTTTTACAATCTTCTGTTCAGCTCTTTAGTATCTTGAATTCTTCCTTGTGCTTTGGCTTCTCTACGCTCCAGTGCAATCTTCAGTATTCTTCTCTACCACCAGAACTCAAAGGCATCACTTTTCCTTTTATCATGCCCAGTCATTGTCTAGCTTTCTGATGCATAGCAAGTAATTGCAAAGACTATGGCCTGGATCAGGCACAGCACAACACAATTTCAAGTTATCCTGAACGTTTTGAAGTTATGGAGGCTGAATAAATCTCTCAAACATTGACCCTACAATGATATTTAAACCTTAAGCCAAAAATATCTCTGACAGACTTCTTAAAACAAAACAGTTTTAGAGCATACATAGCAAAAACATACAAATTCAAGTCTCTACCTGTGCAATTCAGTGACATAGATTACATTCTTTGAGTTCTACAACCTGTCTCACCCTCCTTTTTGTGAGTTGTTCTTCCTCTGTTGACATAAACTCACTGATTCCTATGGTTGCTGTCTAATCTTTTAAGTTATTATTGTCAGATTGACCCCATTTAGGTCGATCTTAAAAGGACATATTACTCAAACAGACATTGTTTACTAGTTAAGCTAAACTGCTGTTTTAATATCATTGTAGGGTCAATGTTTGAGAGATTTATTCAGCCTCCATAACTTCAAAATGTTCAGGATAACTTGAAATTGTGTTGTGCTGTGCCTGATCTAGGCCATAGTCTTTGCAAGTACTTTGTTATGCATCAGAAAGCTAGACAATGATTGGGCATGATAAAAGGAGAATCGATGCCTTTGAGTTCTGGTGCTAGAGAAGAATATTGAATATACCATGGACTGCCTCCTGGAAGGGTGCAAACAGGCTTCTCCTTGGATTTAAGGATTCTGAAGCTTCTTCTGACATACTCTAGGCATGTTGCAAGGAGGGACCAGTCCTTGGAGAGGGACATCATGCTTGGAAGGGTGGAGGGACAGTCCAGGAGAGGAAGACCCTCGATGAGCTGGATTGATTCAGTGACTGGGGTAATGAGGGGAGGTGTGTCAGAGACAATAAGGTTGGTACAGGATAGAGCAGGTTTCAGGGCTATTTTAAATAGGGTTGCTATGAGTCAAAAGTGACTCAATGGCACATAACATTGACAACAACAACATACAGACTGAGATTAGCTCAGGATAGGGCAGGGTTCAGAGCTATTGGTCATAGAATTTCTATGAAGTGTAGATGACAACACATAACAACAACAGGGTGTGGAAATACAAGTTCTCACAGGAAGTTGTACTAGAGTGAACTCATTCTACTGTTCTGCTTAAGACACAGGTATTTTTTTTTGAGAAGAAAGGATATTTGGTCAATGTGGCTCTGAAATCTGTCTGAAACAAGTAGATTTGCTGACTTTGTGGAATGTTAGGAAAATCTTTCTTTGTAAAGATTCTTTAAAGAAACTGCAAAATACCTCTACCTTGTGGAGTTGGAACCAGTCCATGGCTGACCCTCCATGGAGTTTTCAGAGATTGTAAATCACTTGGGAGGAAACTGTCCATCTTTCTAGTGTGGAGGAGCTGGTAGATTCGAACTGCTTGTCTTTGGCTTGGCCGCATAACTCCTTACCCACCAGGCCATCAGAGATTCTA